CTCACCTTTCCTGGCCCCATCCCCGCCTCTTCGACCTGTTTGTTTCCTCTCCACCTATCCTCTCCTCTATCCCTCTTCTATCCGCCTCCAACTCTCTCCCTATTTATTTCAAAACCCCCTTCCCCTCCCCCTTTTCTGATGAAGGGTCTAGGCCCGAAACGTCAGCCTCTCTGCTCCTATGATGCTGCTTGGCCTGCTGTGTTCATCCAGCCCTGCACCTTGTTGTCTCGGATTCTCCAGCATCTGCAGTTCCTACTATCTCTCATGTCAATGTATGATTGGTCAACATGGAAGCAGGTCATATAATCCATACATTCTATGCCAGTGTTCACGTTTCTTATAAATCTCCTCTCATCCTTCTTCCTCTATTCCCTACCATAGAACCTTCTTCCCTGTTTTGCTTCATGTGCTTAACTATATTACCTTTACACAGCTCAACTATGACATAATCCTGCATTGTTCTATACTCATAGATTCTGCTTATCTTGGGGTCTGGATGTTGGATATCGTTCTCACATTCTTGAGTCAACTTTCTTGAATTAGACTGTCCCAACTCAGAGTCTACTGAATCTCTGGCTTTACCTTATCCAAAAGTAACTATAGTCTGGCTCTCAATAGGTCACTTAATGAACTCTGTATTTACACAGTAACATGCAGGTTTCTGATTATAGCTCTCCAGTACAATTCTTCCACTCCACTATTCTTAGAGTCTCAATAGCATGATGTCAGAGTACTGTGATATTGTACATCATTGGTGTGCTGGCTCAGTGGTTAGCACTGCTGCATCACATAGCCAGGGACCTGTGTTCAATCCCACTCTTAGGTGACTGTCTGTGTGGAGTTTGCACATTCTCCCTTTGTCTGTGTGGGTTTCTTCCCATTGTCCAAAGATGTGCAGGTTAGATGGATTGGCCATTGCTAAATTGCCCATAGTGTCTAGGGATGTGCAGTCTATGTAGATTATAGGGTGGGGAGGATGCTCTTCAGGGGCTCAGTATGGGCCAAATGGCCTGCTTCCACACTGTAGGGATTCTATGAATCATCATACTTTTAATGGAGGTTTTTTGAAAAATGGCTCAAAGCTGGTTATATCATTTTGTTGGGATTTTGACACTCTTCAGCCAAAGATACTGTGCGAAGATCGGGAAAGGCTATCACTCTGTTTGATCAGGAAACTCTGAAACTAACACACAAATGAGAGTCAAAGTGAAAAATCTATTTTTGGAACTTGAGGCAAAAATTCAAATTTCCAATAAGTGAAACAACCACTGAGGAAATTAAGGTTTTATATACCAATCAGTAAAATTGATGTTAGGTTTTCTTTTTAAACATATATCTTAAGTAAAATGTCAAGTGCATTTGTGAAGAAATACCTCACACCCTTTTGCTATTGCAAATCCTCCTCCGAGTAGTAGGACCACATTCCAAGGTAAATCTTTCTGAATTTTCTTCCAGTTTAGCAGTGGTGGGTTCATTTTTCCTGAGGCTGGAAAAGAAAGAAAAGAGAAATAAAGGTTTAAGTGAGATACAGGTCCAGTTATTTCCAAAGCCAATTGAATACCAAGTTTGGGAAAGAAAGTCTGTGATCATAATGTCATTAAGAAACAGTCTTGATGAATGATTGTCACTCAACTGTGATCTTGCAAAATGATAGAGTAGCTTTGAAGGATAGAATGGTCTCGCCTGCTCCTATATGCTTAACCTTAACAGTAAAATTGGTAAAGTTTCAAGTGGGAAAATGATTCAGCATTTAGAGAAATGTGAATGTTTTACTCCTTTAGACAATGTGACAGATCGGCCATTTTAATGAATAACTTTGTTCTTGATAATACAAGTAAACAGTTACTGCAGTTTTGTTAACAAATAGTGAATTTGCTAGTATAGTCTTCTCTGAAAGCGTTGCTGATTAAATTGAATTTGATCCAAACAAACTATAAACCTGATTGTATTGTGTGTCTCCCCATGCATACTGCATAACTGCAAGTTGTCCTTCAAGCTACACAACATTGTGGTTTCTTTCACTCTCATGTACCTGTCCAGCTGTGTGAAAAAAGCTGGAACACCTTCTGTTACAGCACTGAGGGTGTATGTATATCAGAGGGATTGCAATGATTCAAGAAGGAAGCTCAATATCAACTTCTCAAGGACAATTCAGGAATGGGCAACAAATCCCAGCCCAACCAGCAACACCTACATTTAGTCAAAGAATAACAAAAAAACCCAAGAAGGCTCTGCTGACCAAATAGTTTTCTTTCAAGCTCCACGTTCTTCCATCTAACAAGCTAGACTCTGGATGTATCTCCTCAGGTTTGTGAGGGGTGGGAGTGAAAATGGGTGGGTGCCCAAAAGACTAGTAAATGTTGCTTCTTGATTAAAGGGGCCGGGGTGAACTTATGCGGGGAGAGGGTGCCTGACATTCCACCCCGCCACCCAGGCTTGTAGGCAATCTCTGGAAATTCTGGTCTCTGGTGGCCAGTAGGCAAAGGAGATGAACACATAAGAGTCAATGTGTCTACCAGCCCTCCAACTGACCTCACAGGCTCAGATAAGCTCAGCACTCGTAGACCTGATGTTGGCAAAAATCACTGGGATTGTGACTTTCGCATCCACAGTTACTCTCTATCCCTGCTGTTCCACACAGTGTTGTTGAACAGTTAACCTTTCTTAATATATGACAAAGAATATACAGTACAGAAACAGGCCATTCAGCCCAACCAATCTTTGCTGGTGTATATAATCTACAGGGATCTTCTCCTGTTCCATTTACCTCAGCTCAGCCTTTCAACATTTTTTTAATCTCCTTTTCTCTCACGTACCTGTTCAATTTCACTTTGAAAGAACGTGAACCATTTATCTCACTTGCTTCAATGGTAGCTAATTATCATTCTAGCCACCTCTGGGAAAAGAAATGTCCTCTTATGTTAGATTTATTAGTAATTACGTTACTCTAACAATTCCTTTTCCATATACACAGCTTTTTAAACATCTTACTTTTACTGACATCCTGACTCTAGTCCCATTACAGCTCCCTTTGCCATCCATTGTTTAGTTAGAATACAGAACATAGAACAGTACAGCACAGGAATGGGCCCTTCGGCCCACAATGTTGTGCTGAACATGATGCCAAATTATCCCTTTACCTGCCCTTAGTCTACATTGCACCATTTCTTGCATATTCATGTGCTTATCTAAAAGTCACTTAAATGCCTCGAACATATTTGCCTCCACCACCCCTGGCAGCGTGTCCCAGACTCCTGCCACTCCCTGTGTAAAAAACTTGCCCCTCACATCTCCTTTATACTTACCCGCTCTCATGTTAAGTCCCCTAGTAGTAGACATGTCAACTCTGGGACAAAGATTCTGACCGTCAAACTCATTAAACTAGTTAAACTGATTCACATACCTTTCGGATCAAACCACCACTTCAATGAAGGCTTTTGAGATGGAAAGAAGCATAACACAAGAACAAATGTCATTCCAGTCACTGCATCTGACACATATCTGAAAAAGAGTGTTTTAGGATAAATAAACAAAAAGTGGGCTGAATTAATGATGATCACCTTCTGTGGATGAGGAGTGGAGTTACTCCGCACTCTTGTGTTCAGGTCTTCTTTTTAATGAGGTGAATATGTCACTATAACTCAGATCCAATTTCATAGCATATTAAAGCAGAGACAATGAAACCCCTCCATTTGAAGTTTGCCCATCTGAAATTCACATCAGCATATAGAATAGAATAGAATAGAATCCCTACAGTGTGGAAACAGGCCCTTCGGCCCAACATGTCCACACCGACCCTCGGTGCACCCACCCAAACCCATGACAACAAGGTGCAGGGCTGGATGAACACAGCAGGCCAAGCAGCATCATAGGAGCAGAAAGGCTGACGTTTCGGGCCTAGACCCTTCATCAGAAAAGGGGGAGGGGAAGGGGGTTCTGAAATAAATAGGGAGAGAGTGGGAGGCGGATAGAAGAGGGATAGAGGAGAGGATAGGTGGAGAGGAAACAAACAGGTCGAAGAGGCGGGGATGGGGCCAGTAAAGGTGAGTGTAGGTGGGGAGTTAGGGAGGGGATAGGTTCAGGGAGGACGGACAGGTCAAGGGGGCAGGATGAGGTTAGTAGGTAGGAGATGGGGGTGCGGCTTGAGGTGGGAGGAGGGGATAGGTGGGAGGAAGAACAGGTTAGGGAGGCGGGGACGAGCTGGACTGGTTTTGGGATGCGGTAGTGGGAGGGGAGATTTTGAAGCTTGTGAAATCCACATTGATACCATTGGGCTGCAGGCCCCATACCTCCTCCCTCACCCCCATCCCAGGCCCCAAGAAGACTTTCCACATCAAGCAGATGTTCACCTGCACATCTGCCAATGTGGTATACTGCATCCGCTGTACCCGTTGTGGCTTCCTCTACATCGGGGAAACCAAGCGGAGACTCGGGGACCGCTTTGCAGAACACCTACGCTCGGTTCGCAATAAACAACGGCACCTTCCAGTCGCAAACCATTTCAACTCCCCCTCCCATTCCTCAGACGACATGTCCATCCTGGGCCTCCTGCAGTGCCACAACGATGCCACCCGAAGGTTGCAGGAACAGCAACTCATATTCCGCTTGGGAACCCTGCAGCCCAATGGTATCAATGTGGATTTCACAAGCTTCAAAATCTCCCCTCCCACTACCGCATCCCAAAACCAGTCCAGCTCATCCCCGCCTCCCTAACCTGTTCTTCCTCCCACCTATCCCCTCCTCCCACCTCAAGTCACACCCCCATCTCCTACCGACTAACCTCATCCCGCCCTCTTGACCTGTCTGTCCTCCCTGGACTGACCTATCCCCTCCCTAACTCCCCAGCTACATTCACCTTTACTGGCTCCATCCCCGGCTCTTCGACCTGTTTGTTTCCTCTCCACCTATCTTCTCCTCTATCCTTCTTCTATCCGCCTCCCACTCTCTCCCTATTTATTTCAGAACCCCCTTCCCCTCCCCCTTTTCTGATGAAGGGTCTAGGCCCAAAACGTCAGCCTTTCTGCTCCTATGATGCTGCTTGGCCTGCTGTGTTCATCCAGCCCTGCACCTTGTTGTCTCGGATTCTCCAGCATCTGCAGTTCCTACTATCTCCCACCCAAACCCATCCCTCTATAACCCACTTTATCCACACATCCTTGAACATTATGGGCAATTTAGCATGGCCAATCCACCTAACCTGCACATCTTTGGACTGTGGGAGGAAACCGGAGCACCCGGAGGAAACCCACACAGACACGGGGAGAATATATAACAGATTTGCTTAAAGAAATGCTTTTCATCTCATTCGATATGATCCTTTCAGATTACTAACCTAACATTTTTTTTTCCATTACATCATCCAGAAGTTTCTTAATCTAGATTCAATACACATTTCCTGATATTCCATTCCAGCCTGTGCTTGCAAACCTCAAAACACCACGTTCAACTTTTTATATGAGTCGAGGCTTGGCTAAAATTTACAAAATAATCTAGAATGTGCTAAAAATTGTACCAGAAACCAATTCAAGCTTATCAGTCAGACCCACAGCGTGATGCACTTGCACGAGCTGGAAGCTATGTTTGTTAACACACAGGACCCTGCCTTATGTACGTAAAATGAATTCGCAAATGTGCACCTTTGGAATTGGGAATTGGGCTGTGGAGGCTGCTAATCTCCGTTCCTTTCCCATGGCAACACCCTGACAGAGTGTGGTTGCCTGGTATGAGATCTGATTTTGATAAGTTAATTGCTCCTGCTGCATCTCAGTGCCACCTTTGCCCCCATCAATCAGCCCACTGTTCTCATGCTGTATAAATCAGGGCTTTTTCCAAAGTTTGGTTTCTTACTTCCTTGTCCTGATGAGTAGAAGACACAATGCTTTAACTTTGTGTTTCCTTTTAATGATAACTAATCTGTGTAACGTATTTGCCTTTGCCTGATTATTTATCATTAATATTTCTCCTGAACATATTCACAAAAGGACCAACAGACATCTATTGCTACCAACATTAGATCATTTTGGATTCCCTCAGCCCTGTTCAGAACCTTCTTCTTTCCCTCTGTCTGTATTCATTAGATGAGGGTTTTAATAATGGAAACTAGAACATTTTTACTCACTGCTAGCATTCCCAAATAGTTAGTTGAGATGTGAAGTTTCCTCCACTCTTGTCCAACAATAGCCCCAAAATAATCTCATGGAGACATTTCTCTGTTTCCCATATGAGACATCTACTTAGCTCTGTACATCAAATTTCTAGTTTGGGATGAGTTTTGTATCTTAAAGTGGTGGATCATTGAGGAACTGAACAGAATGCGCCCAAACTCACCAGAAGCTTATAGTGAGCAGACTGAGGGAACATTTAAGTCCCAGGAGGTGAAAGATTGACTGGTGTTGCATTGCATCTCCTTAAAGTACAGATTCCTATTTTTAATCATCTAATTATTCTCATTAATTTTATTTGGTCTCCAATCCTTTCCACTCTTTGCTACCTCACATGTAACTTTCCAAATGTTTCTACTTGAACAGGTCACAAGCACAAATTCACAAATGTGTCTCACCCTTTTGGGAAAATACTGGCCCATCCAGGGATGAATTTTGGATCTCTTGTGAGAAGCAGAGCCACGAAGAAGGCAAAGAAAACCAAAACAGCGCATTCTGCAAACCTGCAAGATCATTAAAAGAAAGAAAAACTTGCATTTAGCACTTTTCCTGGGCTTCTTCTATTTTGGAAGATATTCCAAAGTAAATTACTGACAATTATATATGTTTCATGGCTAGTCATGGTTGTAATGCAGGAAACACAGCAGCTAATGGTGCACAGCAAACTCCTACAGACAACAACGAGTGAAATGACTAGATCTGTGCTTCCCAAACTTTCTCCCATTGTGATTTGAAAAAGGTAGGAAAGGGGAGGTGATGGCCTACTGGTATTAGCGCTGGACTGTTAATCCAAAGACCTAGACAGTGTTCTGGGGACCTGGGTTCAAATCCTGCCACGGCAGATGGTGGAATTTGAGTTCAATAAAATATCTGGAATTAAGAATCTAATGATGACTGTGAATCCATTGCCAATTGTTGGGGGAAAATCCCATCTGGTTCACTAATGTCCTTTAGGGAAGGAAACTGCCATCTTTACCTGGTCTGACCTACATGTGACTCTAGGCCCTCAGCAATGTGGTTGACTCTGAATTGCCCTCTGGGCAATTAGGGACGGGCAATAAATGCTGCCTAGCCAGTGACACCCTCATCCTGTGAGTGAATAAAGAAAAAAATAGTCTAATTTTGGTGCTCAAACATTGCCAACACCTCCTGGGACAGATTGAGAGGAGAACAGCCTGTGAGAGCAGTGAAGTGGGTGGGGCGGTGTTGGAATTGTCTGTGAGAGCAATGATGGATTGGGAATACCTGTTGTGAAGGGCAAACGTCTATGAGATGAGAGGCGGGGAGATCGTTTGGGGGGTAAATGCTTGTGAAAATGGGTGTAGGGGAAATAGCATCAATGTGATTGGTGGGGGAGCCTGTGAGAGGAGGACAGGAAACGCGCGGGGGGGCGCGGTGGTGTGGGTGGTGGGGATGTTTATGACAACACTGGGGAAAAGGAATGCCTTTAAGGGCTGAGGATAGGGGAGGGGTGTGTCACCCGAGAGAGTAGCTGGGAGTGAAAGCTGTTTAATGCAGATGATTTTTAAAGTGAAACATATCTTCATGTTACAATTTTCAGGACAGGATCCAGGCCAAATTGGGCAGTTAGGTAGCACTCATTGTTTAAAAAACTGCAAGATTTAAAGGAACCTCATGGTTACCAGCACTTTTTGGAGCTCTGACATTACTACACCAGAGTTCGTAACTCTAGAGGTTTGACCAGTTGCAGATCATGACACGCAGTTTGGGAAAGCCCCAGGTTCTATAATCTGTTTTCAATGTTGTTAGTTAGGAGATGAAATATTTTGCCTGCACATAGGGGAGAACTCCCCAGTTTGTGTCTAAAAGCAAAGCCTTGCAATCTTCTGCATTCGCCTGAGTGAGCAGATGGAACCTGTGGCTTAATGTCTCATCTCATTTTATTCCCATGTGGTTAGTCTACCTCTTTGTATTTGGTGTAAAAGAAAACAAAGAGTGAAAAATGTGAGCCTTAGGAATGTAACCAGTCGAGTTCACAGTAACTGATCATTGAACTGGAGTGATATCATTTTGCGCAGTGCAAGCGGGTCATTTGCTAAAACATTAATGCATCTGTTTTGTCTCTTGCTCTCTAGCAATCCCTCAAAACAAGCAGGGTTCTGGCTACGGCCCACAGCAAGAGCTTGCACCTTTTAACATGGGGAGACCAGCTACATGGTTGTGGCTGACGAGGAAACTTCTGTTCTTACTGTCTGCCAGAGGTACACGATAAGAACGGAACCTGACCTGACCTGCTGAGTTTTTCCAGCATTTCAGACTGGTAATCAATCTATTTGGCCACATTATGATCACACTGAGTGAAGCTGCCCACTCAGTTTTAACTTGGGACGCAAACCCATGGCTTCTGGCTCAGAGATAGAGGCATGCTGCACTACCTCAGAAGCCCTCACCTGTGTTACATGCTAACGCATTTGGAACTTAAGCTGCTGATTATAAATCAGAAAACACACTAAACATAGGCAGTATCAACATGCTGTTTAATATATGCTTCATCTTCTGCATGGTTTTCAGGGGGTTGGGGTGAATAGGGAACAAATACTCTGCCAGACAATGCAGTGCAAAACACCACAGTCGTCTATACTTACGTTAATGGTCCCAGATTTTTATAATCATTCTTTATTCTAGCTCTCACCCTGGCTTGAGACTCAGTGTTGTTGGCTTTCTTCCGAGTCCATGACCTTAACATTGAAAAAGAAACTCTCAAATTATCATCGCAACGTATCCAAAGAAGTTTCAATGAAACTTTGCCTCACAGTATCTTATCATTGTGCTCATTGTTTGGTTGTGTACATTGTGTTTACACATTCAACAATGGGAGATCTTGGCAGTTCTGTGCAAAACAATAGGATAAGGCAGAGCTGCAGATGAACAATCTATAAGTTATCAATAATAAATAAAGTGCTGGAAAAGCTTAGCAGATCAGGTTGCAGCTGTGGAGACAGCAATAGTGTCGACTGATTAATTTTTCCAGAAAAATTTTTCTTTTATTTCAGTTTACCACCATCCACAATATTCTGTCCTGTTATTCAAGAATTCATGATTAAATAAAACTCCACTGAAAGGCCGAATATATGCACGTTCATAGACACCAAATTCTGATCCCATCTGGTTTACTAACGCCCTTTAGGAAGATAGATCTACTATCCTTATCCCGTCTGGCCAATATGTGACTCCAGACCCACAGCAATGTAGTCAATCCCTGCCTGCCCTTGGAACTGACCTAGCAAGCCATCATTGGATTCAAGCAGGTAGCTCACCACTATTTTGTCCAGAGCAATGAGGGATAGGCAGTAAGCAATGGGCTTGCCAGAAGCACTCACAACTTTAAAAAAATTACATAGAATGTCTATTTTAAACTAGCATATCCCATCTTCACATGGAACAGCAATAATGGGAATCACTGACATCATTGATGACTCTGATGACTTCATTGAGATACGTACTATCTGATTTTTATATGTGTTATTTACACACACAAGCACATCCACGCACTCTGTACCCTCTATGTTTTAATGAATAAAGGTATTATAAAGATAAGCATAAGAGGCTGTAACTTGTCCACCATGTCTTGAGCAGAAATTAATTCTGGACAATAGTTCAAAGTGGGTATTACTACTTCAGTCGCTGTCTGTAATCACAGAATTGTTGCAGTACAGAAGAAGGCCATTGGGCCCATTGTGCCTGTACCAGCTCTCCAAATAAGCTTCATCACCAAGTGCCAGTTTCCTGCTTTTTCCCCATACCTTTGTACACTATTTCTATCCAAATAGTCATTGAAAGCCCTCTTGAATACCTCATTTGAACCTGCCTGCAACACAGGCAGTGCATTCCATACCCGGATTATTTGCAATGTGAAAAAGTTTTTTTTTCTCTTTCACGTCACCCTTGCTTCCTTTGCACATCACATTAAGTCTAAGACCTCTCATTCTTGTTCCTTTTACAAATGGGAGAACCCCATTCAATATTTGGTTCTAATGAAATCAATGGAACTGGATACTGGGCAGGCTGTCTCTCAGGCAACAGGTGAGATGTTGCCTATTTAACACTATTTAAAAAAAACAGGTTTGGACATCTTTCGTTCCCTCCGAGCCCACAAATGGTGAGTGATCGGAAAATGAGGTGCTTCATCCCCCTATTGCCTTTCCAATGCTGGTGAGCACCCATGGCTAGAGTGATGAAGAGCAGGTATGAAACATATCAGCAGCTATTATGCATTCTGCAGGACCTGAATCTCCAAAGCATCCTCTATATGGAGGCAGCCCAGTTGCTCCGTTGCTGGAGCCATTACAGTAGTGAGAATGTGGACAGACTCCTCCATCATTTGCTCCAGCCTACCATCCCTGCCTGATGTTCCTTTTCTTCTTGCTGCAGGTTGACCATGTGACTTATGGCCAAGTCCAGAGGTACGTCTTCCACATGGGACTGAGTAGCTGCCTGGTCAGTTCTTTGAGTGTCAGAGACTTTGGGCACTTCTTCCTCCACCAGCTGTGGGCATGTGATGTGCTCCCGAGTCTAATCCAGCAAAGTACCCGCTGAGGTGACTGTTTCTGAGCTGGTGGAGGGTGCAGGTGAACATTTTTCCAGTACATCCCCCGACAGTTCACAGGCTTCACCCTGAAAGGTGCTGTTGATGCAGAGGGGCGCATGGTGCTGGGCGGAGCCTTTGCATAGTGAAGGGAAAGAGTGAGTCAGTGAGGCTTCAGGATAACTTGTGCAGAGCAATCTGTTTGTCGTAGAGGAGCAGCATGTAACATTGCTGGTTCATTGGTGCCTCCTCATCACCATAACGACAGTCCGATCTTCCCAAACTAGCTCAACAACACTCTCTTTAAAGGGAATGAGGATCTTTAGATCTGGCTTGTCTTGGACTGGCCATGGTTTTTCCCACAATGAGATAAAAAGGTAGAAGGAGCGTGATGAGAACGGGCGCAGGAACTGAGCATGCATGACCAGGCGAGATAGAGAGCCACACCCTCTGAGTGAGTTGGAACCACAGTGGGCAGGAAACGTTTGAGTGGATGTGGTGGCTATGGGCCTTCAGGTAGCTAGGATGCCTGTCACACTGATGCTTGCAGGCTATGACCATTTGTGAGATTCCAATAGTGGCGTAAGCATAAAACCATTGAAAGTAGGTGCCAGAGTAGGCCATTCAGCCCTTCGAGCCTGCACCACCATTCAGTAAGATCATGGCTGATAGTGCAATCTCAGCATCCCACTCCCGCCCCCTCCCCATACCCCTTGATCCCTTCAGCCGCAAGGGCCACCTTGAATATATCTAATGAACTTGCCCCAATAGCTTTCTGTGGTAGAGAATTCCACAGGTTCAGGACTCTCTGAGTGAAGAAATTCTTCCTCAGCTCAGTCCTGAATGGCTTGCCCCTTATTCTTAGACTGCGACCCCTAGTTCTTGACATCACCAACATCGGGAACATTCTTCCCGCATCTAGCCTGGCCAGTCCCATGAGGATTTCATACATTTCAATGAGATCCCCCCTCATTCTTCTAAATTCCAGTCGATCCAGTCTTTCTTCATATGTGAGTCCTGTTATCCCAGGATTCCATCTGATGAACCTTCACTGGACTCCCTCAATAGCAAGAACATCCTTCCTCAGAGTAGGAGACCAAAACTGCACACAATACTCAAGATGTGGCCTCACCAAGGCCTCGTGTAACTGCATCAAATAATGCCCCTGTGAGTGCTGAGGTAGCAAAGAGAAAATGAAGTCACTTACCCTCAATTTCTTGGTGCACTGATTGCTAACCCTTCTATGGAGGCCAGAGGCCCTGCTGACCCATGTTACAATCTGTGCCTAGGCTGGATGTGACTGATGGGACGGCCTCCTAGTGCAGTCACCTAGACAGAAGAGGTCCCTTCTGACTAGCCCCAAATGCCCCTGAATCAACCCTAGACCTCCCGGCAGGCTCCTGCAGATGGCCACCACTGCCCGTGGAGGGGTTTCTGACCTGCAGCAGTGTGCAGAACTTCTCACAGACCTCTATAATTCGTGCATTTAAGGACGTGGAATTGAATAACTGGTTTTATCACAGTTCTATTCTTTGTTAATTTATTTTAACTTTGTAGCCTCCACGATGCTGGCAAGATAACTGAAGCACTGAAGACTCAGCAGCAGTGTTGGACAGGATTGTAGTTCACTGGGGAATGCAAGTCCTGCCTGAGTAAAATCTGAAGTTATAGTTATAGCTGGCCTTTCAATATGGTGCCAGAACGTTTGATCCCAAAAAGATCCCACCAATGGCGAGAACTTCCACCTCACTCACCACATGATTCCACTTGCATAGGTAATCAGCTGAGAAACGCATGAGATATCTTGTCCTAGGCATTGGCAGACAAGACATAACTTCGAAATGGAAAATTCCACCCACAGTTCAGGGAAGAATGGCAGAATTGACAGGACAAAGATGAAACCCAAAAATGCACAAGGTAGATTTCAGCTTGGAATTGCGCGCAATTTCTTTTCCATTTCTCATACCTTGGATTGAGCCCTCCGTATAGGAAAGCAATCCACAGCCAACCAGCAAACAGGAACAGGATTGCTACAGGACAGCAAAACATAAACCAGGATGCAAAGTTCACCATGTTGCAACCAGGGAAATATCTGAAAGAAAGCAAGAAAAGAAAACCATACTCTTAATTCTACTGGATGTTGTGTGGCACCAAGTGTGGATTTTCAGGACCGTACTGCAAATTCAAACGTCTCTGTGAAACTTAGGAGCACAGAACCACAGAGAATCTACTGGTCAGAAACAAACTGTATTGCCCAAATGGTCTATCTTGGTGTTTATGCTCAAGCCTATACACCAGAAAATCCTCAATTGTTTTCATTATCATCCACTGCTGTGGATCTCTTATATTGTGTGTTATGGAGCAACAGCCAACACAATTCAAACATAAACTGTAATATTACAGACCACAGATGAGTCTATCAGCTACTATCTTGTAATTTTGATACTTCCCATTTCCTATGATTTGACTATTACTTCAGTCACTTGCTGGCTATTTTTTCTTTGTTTAGTGTGTGATTACACTATCTGCAGACTCCACACTGCCCTCAACACAACCACCATCTAACCATGAACATCACGTTTCTCAGTGTATGGAGTCCATTGAAATGAATTCCAATGGATGGTTTGGTCCCCACCTTATGAGTCAAATACTGAAGTGGTTTGTCATTGCCATCTGCAGGATAGCTGACAAGGTGACTCTCCTGCTCTTAATGTCTGCCAATCAGACTGACAACTAACTTGATTCACCACGTTACAGACACCTTGCATGGCCAACACGTCCTCATGTTGGACTCAAACTCAGAGGTTCTGGCCCAGTGGTAGGAATACTACCATCTCACCGCAAGACTTCAAAACACTGGAGATGCATTTATTTTGGCATTTCCTGCTCACTGACCCTACAAACGCCACTGGGGTTACTAGGTGCCTTCCAGTATAAACACCAGGATCAAGGCCTGTAGATTTTCAATCCCGTTGAGATTTTATTTTCTGATACCTATGTTCGATAGAGAGGAGGAGAAAAAGAGAGTTAGAGAAACACTGATAGAAATAGAAATTGATTGTATTTCCTCATCATAGTTTGATTTAATTTTGTAAAAAATGACTAATTGAATGTTGAAAATATCCAAAATATATTTGAAAGAAAATGTTAGGAATGAAGGTTAGGTTGGAAATAGCCTAAAGGATGAGGTGTCTCTCTCTATCCTTGAGAGAAGTAAGTTGAAGAGAGATAAGAGTGACTGAGTGGTTAATGGTGATGTGAGTGATAGCAGAGTAAAGAGCAAAGGAGGACTTTTGTGAATAGTTCAGAAGGGTTCACAGAATCATAGAATAACACAACAAAGAAGGAAGTCATTTGCCCCACTGCAGTTTTTGATGAAGCTGTCTATTTAATAGTGAAGGAGAGGTTGGTGACAGTGTTATAAATGGGAAGGATGCTCAGTAGGTGAAGGGATGGGAAAAGCTTAAGTAAATAGGCGAGACTAGGCAAAGTGAACTATTTGTGCTAATGCTAGTCAGTGCCTCAGAGGCAACTAGGGTGTCAGCCTAGAGCAGAGTTCATATATTGGAGCCGACATTGCCAATACTGGGGAAGGTATTGGGTTCCAATTCCAATGTGTCTTGGAGTGGCTCTCTTATTAAAGGGACTGCACTGAAGTATTTGTTTTTTTTAGGAAGTACTTTAATATTTGACATTCTCAGTCATGATCCCAAAGCTACAGGATAACAATAATGAGTTACATTCCCTGGCCAATTTCCCCTATCTAATGGACTGATCAACTGAAGCCTCGCTATTATTTCTCAAAGAGAGACCACTTAACATAATCCTGGTTGAAAACTAAGATCAGGCATCTTTATGATCTGTACGGCCCAGCTGGCCATTGAAGTGCATGTTACTTTACCGACATATGACATTTCCATTTGTTTGCAAAATACTAAAGACAAATTCTAGTGCCAGGGAATGGATCATTTTATTTCTCCATTTCCTACATCTCGCAAATGTCTATCTTTTTCTATGCTGCTTGCTTCTGAGAGTAGGACCACAGATTCCATTAGATTGGTGAAAGTACTGCAGTGGTTTTGCTATTGCCTTTTGCAGGCTGGATGACCAGGAAACTCTCTTGTTTGCTGCCATCAGTTATATTGGAAGGATTTACAGGCAGAGCCACAGGTAATAAATTACAACAAAAATTGCCAGTTCTAGGGGGTGTGATGGGTCCCATTTCCGATGTACTACCTAGTGGTTCTCTTGATAAGGGGACTGGATTGGAGTATAAATTGTTTTCTTTTACTTAGAAAAGATATCTTAATCTTTGATATGCTAGGCTGAATCATAACAATTCTGTGATAATTAAACCTGTTTGGCCACCTCACAAATACACCAAACACAGCCGAGTCTTAGCATGGGACTCAAATCTGGGGTTTCGGCCCACAGGTAGGGAGGCTTCCACAGCACCACAAGGCCTCCTCAACCAGCAGAATTCCCAGGGTAAGCATGACACAATTTAGATGTAACATGGGGCTTTCTGTCCCCTGGTCTTGGATGAGCATGCCCTACTTCAGCAAGTCAATGATTGCAGTTCTCTTGTCAACCATCCCAGCAGCTTCTCTCTGAGAAAGTGACATTTAAAAATCAGAAGTTCCTTATGATTATTTTACGTTTTCAGCTGCCCAAGTAGGAGCAGGTTTGGTGCTGTCCCAGTCAATGTGGCCGTGCCTCCGATACTTGCAGCGTAAGGTATACAGACAAGGAAGCCCTTCCACAATCTCTTCTGGTTTTCCTTCTCCTTCCTCTGTTGGCCCGTTGTAAAGTTAGCTTCAGTCTCCAACTTCTGTGGATGGCTACTGCTGGGGTAGGAAAACAAATGATTAGCATCAGATAGTGACTATAGTTAACACACTAGATGGTCAAATAATAATTCCTAGAGTTGCAAACGGTTGATTAAGATACATTGTTGGCTGGGGCAATATCATTCCTATCTTTCAATGAATGTATCAAAAATCTAGGCGTGGTCAATAAAAGTTATAGTCACTCAAATACCAATTGGACAATGCAAAGTCAAACAGCACTAGAAATTAAAAAGAGTTTTGGCGTGACTTTACACAAGTTAAAAGTAATAAAATAAACAGCAGTTTAAAGCTAAAAGTTCAACACTGAACTAGTTAATAGGAGAGCTTCAGAATATTAGTACGGCATTAGAAGGTAAAATATTTTCTGTTGAGAGTTAACAGCACAGGATGAAAGTAAGCAATAGGAAGTCAATGGCAAAACAGGAGGCAGTAAGGAATGTTAATGTGTTGAGTTTTTTTAAAAAGCTTGTCCAGAGGATGACAACAAATTGGATTATTACTGGTCGTAGAGTATAGACTGCAGGTCATACATCATTACGATGACACTGTATAGGTCTCTGCTCAGACTGAACCTTAACTACTGTGTCCAATTCTGGTCACCAAGAAAGGAAAGAGTTCCTCACTCATTGCAAAGTGTAGATCCCTCAACTTAGTTATGAGGAAAGATTAGAGTAACATAACCTTTTGGCCTGGAAAGCGAGGTATTAGATCTTATTTTGTGCATGGGGATACAGTAAGCAACAGTATAAGAAAAAGATAAATGATTAATTTCATCAAGTATAATATTTTTAAGTTTGATGACAACACAAACTAGGTTGGAGTGAGTAGTGAGGAGGACATAAGGAGGATTCAAGGCGATTTAGATAAGTTAAACAATTTGAGTGAGGTGGCAAATACATGGCAAATGCAATAGAACATGGATAAATGTGACATTGTCCATTTCAGTAGGAAAAACAGAATGGCAGAGTATTATTTAAATAGTGATAGATTGAGAAAGGTTAACGTACAAAGGGACGTGGGTGCCCTTATATTGAAAGCAAGAATGCAAGTGCAGCAGCAGTTAGGAAGGCGAATGGTGTGTTGGCCTTAATTGTAAGAGGTTTTGAGTGCAGGAGCAAGGAAGTCGTACTGCAGCGCTATAGGGACCACTCCTGGAGTATTATGTGCAGTTACCTAAGGAAAGATATACTTGCCATAGAGGGAGTGCAGTGAAGGTCCACCAGACTGATTCCTGGGATAGCAGGTTTGCTGTCTGAGGAGAGTTCGGGTCAAGTGGACCTGTGTTTGCTAGAGATTAGAAGAATGAGAGGGGTTCTCATTGAAATGTATAAAATTCCAACAGGAATGGACACACTGGATGTAGAGATGGTGGTCCATGGCTGTGGGGTCCAGAACAAGGGGACACAGTCTCAGGATACGTGGTAGGCTGTTTTAGACTGAGTCCAAAAATGTGCAGGTTAGGTCGGTGGCCATGCTAAATTGTCCATAGTATCCAGGGATGTGCACACTAGGTAGATTAGCCATGGGAAATGTGGGCCTGCTGGGATAGGGTTGGTCAGTTCAGTCTGGGTCTGGTTGGGATGGTCTTTGGAGGATCAGTGCAGACTTAATGGCCAAATGGCCTCTTTCTGCACTGTAGGGATTCTATAATTCTATGAAGAGAAATGTCTTCACTCAGAAGGTGGTGAACCTGTGGAATTCTCTACTACAGAATACTGTGGAGGTCAAGTCACTGAATATGTTTTAAAAAAATATATAAATGTATAGAAGCTAAACATGTCGGGGAGCATGGGGGGAGCACGGGATTGTGGCATTGAGATAGAGGATCATCCAGGATCATGTTGAATGGCACAGTTGGCTCAATGGACCAACTGGCAAACTCTTTCTCCCAAATTTTTTCTTTGAGTCAATGAGCTAATGCAAAGTTTTGCTGAAATAAGGACATTTGTGTTTGCATAGAGAATAAACTGCATTTGGACTAGCTGTCTGAGCAGAGTTGTGAAGATGAAAATACCGGAATTGGTTAAAAAGCCTTATTAATGTGTAGTTAAGCAGCAATGTGTCTTTGTGGCTGGAAGAATTGTGCAGGAAATGTCCTGCAGTGTAAGGGAGCTTAGGCTCAAAGGAAACCATCTGAGTGAGTGGTGATATAGTTCATGAATTCAGAGCTCAGAGTGGAAGAATCAACTGTTGTCTTTATTTAGCAATGGGCCACGTACAATGAAATGCATCTGGCAGTTGAGAAAAGGCAGAATTCTCTGGCTACAATTAGACATTTCTTCAGTAGAATGTTAGAACAAATTTGTGTACTTTTTCTTCAAATAAACCTGTCAATCCACATTAAAGAGTGTACAAAATTATTTAATTAGCCTATTTAAAGTGTTCGTACATTAATATCACAGAGTGCAATTTCTCACCAGAAATATGAGTGAAGCAGTCTAATAGCTCCTTACACTTACTCTGGTGGAGCAACATATCTTGTTCTTGCACACAAAAGGCTAAAGCAGACTGAAGCAAACTTTTTTTTGTACTGAAGAGATTTAAGGCCCATTGAAAGACATTTCTGTTTTTAGGATAAGTGGAATACGTTTCACCTAACACTCCTCTCAAGAATGTGTTCAACCTCCACTTCTGTTTTATATATGATAATTTTATATTGTACCTGTCATCACTGATAAAACATGACATCTCATTAGGTAATGACTCTTTTGAAGTATTATCTGAAGAAGAAACAGAAAGAGACATTATATAAATTCTATTTTATTCAATTATATAAAGCAGATATGAATATAATACAGAGACAGTAAGAACTGCCGATGCTGGAGTCAGAGATAACA